ACCACCAGATAATTTTAGAATTGGAATCCCCGACTGGAGATCCTTTTTTGATCAATTTCAAGATAAATGCATCGTTGGTGGTGATTTTAATGCCCATCATACTGGTTGGGATGATGACAAATGTTGTCCGGTAGGTTATTCTATAGTGAAAAGTTTGCTCGACTTAAGGTTTGTATGTTTAAATTCTGATTCCGCCACATTTTGTAGTTCAATTGATCTGGGTTCTGAATCATGTATCGATTTTTCTTTTTCGAGCTTGGACATCTGTTTGAACTTAGTATGGTCCATAGGTAATGATACTTAGGGAAGTGATCATTTTCCAATCACTATTTCATTGACTTCCAGGATTTCTTTTTATACTTTATTTAAGAAACCTTCCAAACTTTACTCTTTCAAAACTGATTGGAATTTATTTAAGGATAAGGTGGAGTCATCGCTTAATGCAGGATTATATTTAAAAGAAAATTTTGCTCTTATGAATATCATCCTAGACGCAGTCAAGGATGTTACTCCTGGAAAAAGACGAAAGGAAGAAAAGAACTTTTGACACATTCGTCAGCCTCTGCCATGTTTATGGTGGAACGAAGAATGTGATGAATTGATTAGCGCTAGGAAAAGTACGTTAACAAATTTCAGGAGAAATCGTTCATGGGAAAATTTTGTAAATTTAAAAAAATGCGAGGCCAAAGCTCGCTCAGGTCTTAGGAAAATTAAAAAAGACTCATTCTGATACTTTTGTTCAAGCTTACGAAAGGACTCCAACCCCTCAAAGATATGGTCTACGGTAAACAATATGTATAACCCTCAAAAAGAATTTAATGTTAGAGAATTAATTTCGGACTTGTGTCCTCCCTGGGTTGCCACATGTGTGCACTAATATTACTGCAGTATCTTTTCTCTCTCGATCATACGCTCTGTCACGCTCTGTCTCTTTCTAATCGCTCGCTCGCTATGTACTACGTATCGCTTAGCTTCATGCTCCTCGCATATTCACTTACGCGTTCACTCGCGCTTCTCTCTCTCTCTCTCCCTCTCTCTCAGTGGAGAAGACGTGTCAAACATCGCTCAGCAAAAGTAATAACTTTCAAACGGTTAAATAGTTACGGGGAGTGATAGAAAGTTATTCAAGTCATAGCGGCATAGACCGGCATTAGCCATGAGTGTTATCTAGCCGGGATATGCTGATTTGTGGGCGTGAGAAATGCATTTCCTGTCTGGGACACCAAAGTCTCACACGACAGGTAGACATTAAAAGTGGACACAAAAGTGCTGACGTGTGACAGTGAAACAGAGGTGACTGATCGCTTACGCTGATATTAGCGGTTTCGGCCGATAATTATCGGCAAGGACGATGAATATGCTGAATATCGATGCTCGGCATGTAAAAAGACAATAAAAAATCAGGTGGTGACATGCAAGTCTTGCTATCAGGTGAATCGTATTAAGCTGTTTTACCATCCAGGATGTGTAAGCAAGCATAGGATTTACGATAAAAATCAAGAATTGGTA